CTCTCTCTCTCTCTCTCTCTCTCTCTCTCTCTCTCTCTCTCTCTCTCTCTCTCTCTCTCTCTCTCTCTCTCTCTCTCTCTCTCTCTCTCTTGAGTTTTCCTGCTCCCCCCACACTCTCACTCGCGAGTTTTCATGCCCTCTCGCTCTCATGTGTTTTTTCCCCCTGGACCCCTCTCTTGCTCTCTTGCATGTTTTACCCCTTCCCTCTTCTCTCTCTCTCAGTCTGCTGCCCAAAATGTGAGAGGAGGCATCACTGGCTCAGTCTTGCGAACTGATGATTGGTTGCTTTTAAGATTGAGTGATGCACGAGTGTAGCTGTTGGTTGTTGCACCAATGAAAAGCTGGAGGCTGGCGCGGGGTGCAAAAATGCTGAAGGCTAAGACAACGGAGTGAAGGCCTCCTGTTTGATTTCCTCGCTTGTACAACGCCATATTTGCAGTCTGTGCGCATTGGTGGTGATGCGGCTCCCGGGATTGTTGATCGGAAATATCAGGTCTCCTGTGGGCTGTTGAAAGTAGCTTCTGTTTATCAAAGTGCTTCTTTGATTGCACTTCGCACCATAACGCGACCTCTTGGAAGTGCCTATTGGAAACTGATACGAATTTGGATTTTAACGTGCTGGTGTTTTTTAACTATCGGTAGTTGTAGCAGTAAGGACAACAGACTTTTCATTTTTATTTTTTTATTTTTTTCCCCTGAGTCCATGCGAGGGCATGCTTGTCGTTCTTTCTCTGCTTTTGCGCCCTGCAATGGCAAAGCGGCGGTTTTAAGATGGGGTCACTGGGGTGCCAAATCTGACGCATTGATGGCTGTGTGTTCATAAACTTAACAGGGGCCTGCCTATCAGAAGGTCGGAGTTGTGGACTCGGTTTGGGTGACACACTTGGGGATACCGTCATTGGGAAATCAGGTAAACAACTGCTGTAGCCTCTCTCTTTTTTTTTTTTTTTTTTGAACGGTTGAAGCCTTCTATGTTGGACATCAATGAATGCGTGTGCTTTCACAATGCAGTGCCCACTGATGGAGTTGCTATTGACCAAAAAGGGGCATTGCGTTTTTGAAAATCTTCGCATGTAAGCGTACGCTACAAGCCCACAAGGGGTGTTGCGTGTGTGTGTGGAGACGGGTAAGGACACTACAGCCTTGCAGGGGTGGGTTGGCACGAACGGTATGGGTCCTGTGACGGAGCTGAGGCAGAGCAGCGAGGTCGGGGAAGAGAGAGGGAGGGAGTGAGAGCACACACACAAACACTCGCTCAACTCGACCCGGACTCGACACGACTCGACGGACACGGACACAAAGTGGCAAAGTGGCAAAGTCGCAAAGTCACAATCTTGGTTCCGTACACAATGTCGCAGCAAGTCACACTGAAGCACAAGCACTGAGGCCGAAAACTGAGTCCCCCGAACTCGGCTTGAGTCCAGTTTAAAGCATCGGACTCAAGTTGAGTCCGAGGGCAAAAGTGCAATTTGCCTTAGGGCTGAACTGAAAATCGAAGGTCTGAGCCTGGCCGCCAGAATGCCGGATGGCGCCTAGTACGAAATCCGAAAGTGGCAGAGGCGGGATTTGAGAACGGGCGCCAACTGCAGAGGGCGCCAACAGTCAGGAACTGGAGATCAGAGACTCCAAAAAAAATAGAATAGCAGTCTGGCGGCTGGTAACCCGCGGACCAGGGATCGAGTCCTGGCTGGGTCCGCAACAGGTCCCCTCTTTTAAATACCGTGTCCTCGCTGTAGTGGTTAAGAGATTCAGCTCTTGACGCTGAGGGTGCCGGTTTGAATCCGTGCATGAGGGGTCTAAAGCTGGAGATTGTGCTTCCTACAAGGTGTCCCGAATCAGGATGTCTGGGTTGGATAATGGGACTAAAATGTCTGTTCTTCGATTCATGATATACTCACTCTGAATTCAAATGAGGTGGGGCAGGTGGGGTGGGTGGGGGGCGAAAGGTGGGAACACTGGGAAGCCATAGCCCAGAAGGCGGCAGTCTGCTGAGAGAGAAAGGAGTGACTATTGCAGTTGAGCGGCAGGTGAGGAATAAGTGGAAACGGTAGCTGATTCTTGCGAAGGCAGCGGGGCAAAGTGGCCTAGAGAGAGGGGAGGGAAGAATGGCGCCGCTCTCTCGCTGTCTGAACTGAGGTTACAGTTGCGGTTAGAAGTACTTGTGCAGGACAGCAAGAGAAGATGGTGCGCGCGTTAACTGTTAACCATTGTCTCGTGGGTTGGATAGACACCAGTCCGGTCCGGTGCGGTCCAGTCGTTATCACCTCTCCGACGTCTCCGGATTTTATCTTAATTATCCGGAGCGGAAAGGGACTAGCTTTGAATTCCGAAGTGCCTTTCGCAGACTTCTACAGAAAAAAAAGATTCGAATGAGCGCTTGGTGGCGGGGATCCAAGACTCAAAATTTCGGATGATGGGACGTGGATCCTGTGTATGTTTGTTTCATTTACGAGGACGTGTGTGAGAGGCACCGATTGATGTTTTCCATTTAGTTTAAACCGGCCACTACCTTTCACAGGCAATATTGATTCTTTGGAGGCCAGGTGGCCCCGAACCAAAATGGCTGGCCGCGCCAGCCAACACAAAAAAAAGGAGTTGCGCTGTTGCTTCAGCAAAGCTTGGCCCGCAGTTTGTTTCCGCCTCGGCAAAAAGAGGGTCGGAGCTCGTGGTGGTTCAAGGCTTTATTTGCACAGTATGAGTAGTGAGTGGCACATCACATGCAAGGGAGTAATTTTTCAAACAATCAAACGAAGTAGAGGAAAAGTTATGCCTGATGGTTTTCTTACGCTTGCCCTGTTTGGTGGGAGAATCTCGACAGCGATATTTGATATGGCTGCTGGTTTTCTTATGTTTGCCCTGCGCGGTGGGAGAATCTCGACAGTGATATGACAGCAACGAAGTAGAGGAAAAGATTTCTTATGTTTTCTCATGTGCACCTGCCTCTCTAAGAAAAGCAATCCGAAAAACACGAGTGTAGACTACTGTGCGAGGATCAGGGTCCTCGGTAGGCCTATGGGGTCCTGTTTACAGCATTGCCCGCCCTGAGTGAAGGTGGAGGTGCCCCCCCTAAGTGAAGGCGGGCCTGACATATCGCAAGAGGCCCTCGACTGTCAATTTCATGTTTGGGGTCCAGGCAGTTGCGACGCGCCAGTTGGTTGAGAGAAACTCAGGCCGGGCAACAAAGACATTTCCACGGCCTTCCGGGTTTTTCCAAAGAATGCAGGCCCTGGGCGTGATTCGCAGCCTCATACAGAGACAGTTGGGCACCCAACCGAACGAGCCCCAGCAGCCCAGTAGCTGCTGTACACAGGCAGCCTCCTGGGGCCTTCCAGAAGCTTCTGGGCCCAGGCCAGTGCAGCCAGGCTGCGCGAGCAGGCCAGCTCTTTCCATAAAGGAAAGAGCTCACCCCTGGCAGCCTCATTCAGGCACTCGCATGCTAGCGGCAGCGCTGCTGGACCAAGAGTTCGCGGCTGCTGGCTGGCGCTGAGAGGTGAGGTGCAGCACGTGCGGTCGTGCAGGGAAGAAGGGCGCTGCTGAGGGCAGCGCCATAGCCCAGCCACCATAGCTGGTGGGCTTGGTCTACAGTGAGGCGCAGGGGTGGTCTTCGGGTGTAAGAGAGGACAGACGTGGGAGTAAAGACGGGGGATAGGTGAAGGATGATGATGATGATGATGCGAGGGTACTTACCTTGTATTGGCGATGGTCTGCATGGGCGACATCTTCAAGTACTTCGGGTTGCTGCTGATGTCAACAGCTGCATTGTCAATTAGTAGGCTGTAGTAGCTGTGTTAGGAGTAGGCTGGGCGCTGAGCGCTAAGTAGGAGAGTGAAGGGACTGGCCTCTTGTGTTGATGAGGAGGGAGTATGCTCTCCATGACATTGGTTTTCAGTACTATGAACCTCCATTGGTGTAGTATTGGTGCAATGCTGCCTCTGGACACGGTGTGACTATCTGGCTTTCAATGTGATGGTGTAATCTGGAATTGTCATCTCGCTGTTGCTTATTTTCCTTGCAATTTGGTATCGGAGCTGGTTCATATTGCGCTTCATTGGTTCTTCGCAATAGCTATTGGTGCTTCGCATGAGGTGCATCACCCGGCTTTGTTTTAAACCACCACTAGCAGGCTGGGCCCGCCGTTGATAAAACCCATCGGCGGCATCTGTGCGTTACAGGCCTCCACACTTCATGGAGCCTTTTTGGTTACAGGCGTGCTGCAGGTAGTGGTGGTTAAAAAAAAAAGGACTACTGATTAGCTAGGCCGTTTTCCTGGGCGCCCGGGCACCCAAGTTGTGCCCGGAAACACGCCCGGGTGACCGGCCGGGCATGGTCCCTGGGCAGCCCCAGCCGCCCAGCGCCCAAAAAAAAAAAAACTGGGAAAACAATATGTTGTGTAGAATTGCAATACAAACAACTTTTGGCCGAGGGTCACATCAGAATTCTTCACGGAACCGAAGATAAAAAAGAAAATAACAGAATCACACCAAGGCAACCCCCTTTTAAAGTTTAAACCCCT